CTCAAAAAATTTAAGAGTAGAAATATCATATGATCTAGCTATCCTACTTCTGAGTATTTATCTGAAAAATACAAAAAGACTCATTTTAAAAGATCTATGCCCCCCACAGCACTTTTCGCAATAGCTAAGAAAGAATCAACCCAAATGCCAAACGATGGGTGAGTGGACCCAAGATAAGCTGTCTCTAGAAAGGAACTACTACTCAGCTGCTTAACAAAAGATGAAATCCTGCCATTTGTAGCAACGAGTATAGACCAATAACAACAAACAAAACTTCGATGATGTTTGAGACAAACCTCGATGATATTTGTGACATTAGCATAAAATGAGTTGATGACACTCATAAAATGAATAGTCAGAATTATGATGATTAATGTATATAAAGGAATGCTCAAATGTGTGTTCAGATTCCTGATCCATTTTTAGGCTGGTTGATCATAGGGTTGGTAGCTCTGGGAGCCAGACGACCTGGGCTCAAATTCTAGCTGTGTCTTTATGGGGAAGTTACATAGTTTCTTTGCACCTTAGTTGCATCTATTGAAGGGGATTAACAGTATCTGAAAACTCAAAATGCTACTGTCAAGTGCAGGATACTATTAACTCTTACTGTCCTGATTGTGAAATCTTTCCAGAGACTCCATTCTTTATCAAAATCCATCCTTTCTGTATTCTAGAGTTCAAGATCAATTAGTAGGTTTTTTTTTTCTTTTTTTGCCAACTAAGTTGCCTTTCTCACATGAAAATCTGCAAATATTTTAAAATACATGTTTAAAATACATGATTCCTACATCACTTACTATATGCATAACCAATATAGTTGATTAGTGCTTTTTTTAAATTTAAATTTTATTTTTATATTCCCCATACAATTACAACCGCCTTATTTTGACCCCAATCCTTCCTTTCCCCGTCCCGCCATCCCCCCATAGAGTGTCTCTGGTTCATAGTTGTTTGTTGATTTTGATTTTTTCTTTCTTATAGCTGTTCTTTTTCCTGGTCCTTTATTTAGGTTTTCTAGATTCCTGCTATGAGTGAGACCATCCCGTATTTTTCTTTTTCTTTCTGGCTTATTTCGATGAGCATGATCCCTTCCAGCTCCATCCATGTTGCTGCAAATTGCATGTGTTTATCTTTTCTGAATGCTATATCCCTTGGCTTTTATCACTTGAGAACTCTGGTGCTAGTCCTGCTGATCACATCTTTTCAGTTAAGGGTTTTCAAATCTGGCTTTAGAGAAATGATCCTTATTCTTTGCAACTCTGCAACCCAGAGTAAGTGTGTGGTAACATCTTGGGGACAGTTTTTCTAACATATGGCCTTCCAATACCTATATAACTCCTGTGGACAGCCCTGTATTTCTTCAAACATCTTTACTCTTCCGCTAATTACATCTCTAAAAAGCAGGGCTGCTTTTATCAGTGAAATTCATTGATTTCGAAAGGATAAATATATATGTATATGACAGGTGCAAAGACAATGGGCTAGAAAGCCTGCTTTCAGCTTCTTTGGAAACAAAAGGATATTTGCTATTTTTCTTTTTTCTATTAAAGCCCTGGCTTGACCTATTTTTTCCTCTATTCAAAATTAAGCCTGGAAATAATACATTTTATTTTTTTAGTTAAAAAATAAGAATAGGAAAAGGCCTCGTTTGGTAATGAGGGGAACATAACCTTTATTCATTACAAAGGGCATTGGATGTTATATTCATCCATGCACCAAATAGCCCTCTGAGCTTGAAAAACTAATTATAGGAGTAGAGTGTGACTTTTCCAGTCTTTCTGGCTCATGCCATGCGCTATGGCACTCTAATGTACTAAATCAAGGCTCTCTGTCAACTCTACCACACTGGAATATAAATGAAGTGTGTTCACTCCTATTTACCTACACTTTCAACTTCTTTTTTTTTTTTTTTGCTTTCTTTTTTTTAAATTTTATTTTTATATTCCCCATACAATTAAAACCCCTTTATTTTGACCCCAGTCTCTCCTTTCCCCACCTCCAACCCCCCTAGAGTGTCTCTGGTTCATAGTTGTTTGTTGATTTTGATATTTTCTTTCTTACAGTTATTCTTTTTCCTGGTCCCTTATTTAAGTTTTCTAGATTCCTGCTATGAGTGAGACCATCCAGTATTTTTCTTTTTCTTTCTGGCTTATTTCGCTGAGCATGATCCGTTCCAGTTCCATCCATGTTGCTGCAAATTGCATGTGTTTTTGCTTTCAACTTCTAACCAGGACAGGGAACGTGGCAGGTGAAGAGGAAAGAATCAGTCACATGCAAAATAAACAGACCTAGAAATTATTTTTCTTTTGCTAAGGCAGATGTAATTTGTTTTCAAACCTTGTCTAGATGCAAAAACATGGTCAAAGCTCTTAGGCATAATGTTTGGCAAGAAAAACTAGATACTGTGATTAAACTTCTAAAACACAGGAGGACAGGCAAAAAATAAACTATGGTGACAAAAGTCAGAACAATGATAATCTTGCAGGGAGCACTTCTGAGTGCTAGAAAAGTTCTATATGTGGATCTGGAAGGTGGCTACATGTATATAATCTCATTAACATTTCAGTGAGTTACATACCTAGGATTGCACGTAATTTATAATGCATATGGAAAAGCACCAAAATATTTTACAAATCTATGTATAATTGGATTTGTTTTCACATTTATGGTGGAAGGTGATACAATTCAATAAGGCAAGCAAGAGTAAAGTGACCTAGGACCTAAATTCTAGCTCATTTAAATCAGAAACATAAGGTATATGGAGACTTATCTCTTGGAACAGATTTTCTTTTTGGGAAGAGGGCTAGAAACTTTCCCCTTCACTCTGTGTTATTGAAGATAAATAATAATACTGAACTCTCTTTGCAGGTGTAAAATATAATTAAAGAATTACATAATACTAAACTGAGGAACTAGAGAAAGAACTACGTTTATTTAAAGTAACCTGAAAAGTTGGAGACTAATAATTTATTCTCCAGAATAAATGAGTATATTTAAAGAGAAAGAATGGGAATAAGTTTCTACCCAGAGTATAAAAGATCTCGCAGCAGGAAAATGTGATGGTAATATTGAGAAAGAGTAGTGTCATGTGGTCTGACCTCTTTCCTAAGGTCAGTTTTGATTATTTCTACTTGGGGATGCAATCAATTGATGTTTCTTGATAGAAAAATCATGAGGCTATTCTTTGTTACTATTGCCATGACAACATGATGTAAATTAAGGGGAAGTGTGGAGAATAGGAGTAGGGAATAGTAGCTAAGAGTTTTTCATTTATTTCATAAGCTTGAGAAAAATATATTCAGCACAATAGAAGTAAAGTATCTCTGTGACTTTGATGTTAAAAAGGATTTTTAAATAGCATACAAAATATCCTACCCATAAACAATGATAAATTAGACATAATAAAATTTAAAATGTCTACGGGTAAAAAGACACCATTAAGAGAGTAAAGAGGTAACTTGTAAAGCAAGAGAAAATAACATTTGTATCTCCCTTTGATCTATTACAAAGAAGTTACATCTAGATAAAGAATTCCTACAAAAAAGTAGGGAAAAGAGACTAATTAAAAATGGCAAACTAATTAAAAACTGAACAACTTATGAAAGAAGATATTCTAGTAATCAATAAATACATAAATATATCAGAAGGAGCTCACCTTCATTAGTTATGAGAGAAAAGCATAGAAACCACAATGAGGGGCCTCCCTGGCAGTGCAGGGGTTAAAGTCTCTATCACTAATCACTGCAGCTTGAGTTTGATTGCCTGCCAGGGAGCTAACCCACATGGCTCAGGTCTCTCCTGACTGGCCTGTTGCTCCCCTCAGCAGTGTGTTTCAATAGACCTGCCTGTTCTGCTCCCCACTCTGTCTCTGGTGAATCCTCTCACCCCCCTGCATCTCTGCCCTACAGCCTCATTCTTGTATGCACAAACAAATAAAAGTAAATCTTAAAAAAAAATAAGAAAACCACACAAGAAGAAGAAAAAAACGGAAGAATTTAGGTTAAGTTACAGGTGGTTTTTTGAGTATGATTTTGAGAAGGTTTTAAATTGCATGATAGCAAATTTTAAAATATGGCACACATATGCATGAACACACTCTATTTTGTGAGCAGAAGTGCCCTATTTATCTACAGTTGCAACTTATTCTGAGAAAGAGAGGAACCCAGTTCTCTGATGAATGAAAAAATTGGCCATTACACTTCTTTTACTCCTTTTCTGGTCTTTGTGTCTTTAAAGTGATTTTATTTTAACTTTTTATTCATTTACTTGAATAGGCAAAAGATAACAGGATGAACCTAATTTTAATATCATAAAGCATTACCTCAATTTTTCCTCCACTTTATAGAACTCTAAATGACAAAGATGAAAATGTTTCACTGTGGTATGTGAGCATGTGAAAATGAGTAACTTTATCAATCAGACCACAATTTCATGAGTAGGTAAATACCTTAACTTGCACAAAGGTGAATGCTGAGTGAGTCAGTTGAGAGAGAGACCCAACTTTTGTTAAAATAAGCAGGAATCAATCAGGTAATACAATGTACGTGTTCAAATGTGGGAAGCACATTTCTATTTCTAGAAAGTCTAACGAACAGTTCTATGAGCTGCAGAACAGGCTAAGAACACTTGTAACATAACCTTTATGGGTAGGAACTTAATCTGATTGCCATGTTTCCAAGATTATGGCACATCAGAATCTCAATACAGATTTGCTGAATAAATGAGAGATGTGTTCTTCTAAGAGGAAAGAATGGCCAACATACTAAAAAATATTTTAATTCAATTTAGCAAAAATTTGAAAATTTGATTTATAACCATCTCTTTTTTTTTTAATTTTTGAGGATATTGGCATGAGAAATGAGGTGTAGGACAAAACTGGACTTGGCTAAGTTCATTTAATTGCTGCTTGCTATTTAGAAATGTCAAAATATCAAGAAAGAATTAGCTAAACAGATTTTTTTAACCTATGTTTAGTATAACTAAGACAAATAGACTTTTACCTTATAAAATCTTCTTCCTCTTCTCTCTTTGGCCTCAGCTGCTTGGGTTGAGCCATATTAATCCAGTTTGGTAGTGATTTCAAGAGTCTACTGATGTCGTCATCTTTTGCCCAAGATGCACTGATAACAAGCTTTTCTTCTGATTGGACAATGCCCCTAAACAAGACCAACAGGAAAGGTACTTCAGCACATTGTCTAGTCTCCAGTTAGCATTCCTCATCTTTGTTTAAAAAAAAAAATCCCATGCCCATCTCTCTTATTAACATACTCTGTGACTTGACTTGACACTATTAACAGTGACACTATTAATAGGTCACATTACTGGGTAACACCATTTCTAGGTCTTATTATTAGTTTCTTCATTGTTGAGTAACTATGAAGGCAAGTAACACTGATTAGCTCCCTTTATCATAGTTAATCCCTTAGGATAAGTACAAGCGCATGGTAGGCTTTGGGTATCATTCAAGAAAGATGTTGGGCAAATAAGATGTGGGGTATCTACATAAAAGGCGGCTGTCAAATGATAATATAAATGGTCCCTGAACATTTATATTGACAGACGTGTCACAGAAGGTTGTTCTCTTACTTCTTGGTTTAAACTACTTCTTAGTTTCATTTGAAGGTATATTTTGTACTATGGACACCCTTTTATTCAAAGCAGATCTACCATCATAGAGAAACCTTCTGTTCCTGATGTCAGGCAGAAAAAGTCTTTGATTGTTTTATTTCCAGTGGGTTTGCACCAGCGACCCACGGTTGTCAACCTTCAATTCCTGTAATGGGATCCATGGGTCGACTACTAACACTGCTCTTACCGGAATGTACCTATAAAGTTTTCTTAAAGCTTCAATTTCAATTTAACTAAAAGCTGCTCTTTCTGTTCACCATTTCTATCACCATAACTAATTTCAATGGTCTAAAAAAATCATCACCATCAATCCTAGGTGACAGAAAAGACATTTATTTATGAAGGGAGGGCTAATTAGCTGGCTATTCCTCTGAAGATGATCAAGACTCCAGGAGGTTTCCCGTCCATCACAGGCAGGGATGTCATGTGGTGTAAGGGTTATACTGGGGGACATCACACACTTCTAAATCTCCAGTATTTATAGCGTGTGTATGTATAAAGCATGATAAGAATCTGCTATACCCAACAGATGATTTAATTTGTGCAGACAAAACAAATCGAAGTCTAAAAACGCAACTCAAGACAAAGTGATTTCATGTTGTGGGGCGCAATAATGTCCTGGTTTTCTGAAAGTAAGCCAGAATAAATAAGAGTACCATAGTTGATTTCTAGAATATTCTAATTCACTGTTAGTGAAAATTTTCTAGCAGTAATTGTGGCCAGAGATACAAAAATTAGACTCAAGAATCTTCTTCCTTCAAACCTTTGAAACTATTCACTGGTATCTCCTATTACCACCCCCCTTTAAGTTCGTGCATAATTTCTGAACTATTTATGGATTAATATCATAATCAAATTTTAGACTTTGGGTACTGGGTGCAATCTTTAGAATGATCTCAAACTGAATAAATTTTTGCTGCTTGTAAGCAGCCAGTCCATGCCATTTTATTATAGCAGTTTGGATGGAGCAAGACAACCTTTACAAGTGATCCTGATGCCTTGGTGAGCCACTCCAATGTTTGCTTGTTGCTATGACTTTCATTGGAAGCATCAGGAGAATTCTTCCATTTTGATTTGGCTATACATTTAAAATACTTTTTAAAAGCTATGCAATGTCCTCTGAACTTTCAATGTGTTAGGAGTAGGAAAAGGGCTTCCTAAATCTATTCATTCCACATTCTTGACTGGAGTCAAAATTCAGGCTTACATCAATTGTAATCGAAGTTCTAGAAGGACTCTTCCTGTGAAATTGCTCCAAACGCCCAGGAGCATGTTTTAACTCTGTGTGCTCTTTGATTATTCTAAAGGATCTGGGACTTCTGATTATCCGCTTCTTGAAATGCTCCCCCATGCCTTTGTTTCTACAACCAATCACCTTTCCCACCCTAATCTTTTCCTAGCCAAAGTGATGGTTCCTTTCATTTGTCCATAATTTAAATATTGGTGTTGCAAAAGCATTCTGCATTTCTCACTTGGGCTATCTTTCTTGCCAGACTAGACCCCTATATTCTCACCATTCCCACATTAATACATTTTAGGACTACTTTCTCTTCTAAGTGTCTACTTGTATATACACTGGCTTGCTGGAGAATTCTACTTTACAGTACCAATACCATTTCAAATTAAAGTGTGTCAAAAGTTCATTTTATTAGCCACTGTATTCTCTCCCACTAAATACCTACTATTTTCTATTTTGGTCAACAGCTCAACCATCCAACCTGTTATGCAAATTAGGAACTCAAGAGTCACCCTAATCACCCATAGTCACCACATTCTGCCAATCCCATCTCCTTAGTCTCCTATAAATCTGTTATTTTCTGTCCAGATTCTCTGCCATTAACCTGTACTTAGATCCTCATCATGTCTCACTTGGATTTGGCAGTAACCTTGTAATTGGGCGCCTTGCCTGGAACTTTAAGACCATTAGTAAAACTCCACACCAGTCAGAAGAGCCATTTTTCTAAACTATGAATACAATCACATTATTCTCTTTCTTAAAAGTCACTGATTCCTAATTCCATATAGGCCAAGTCCAAACTTAGCAAGGCATGAACATCTACCTTTTTAGCTTCCCCATCTGCTACTGCTTATCTCCTTTGTCTCTGTTCACCACTTCCAGCCAAAAGACTGACTGTGTTGGCCAAACATATCCATAATGAGGATTCTAAAGCTTCTTGATTGGGGTATAGTGTTTCTTGACCCTCTGTATTATCTCTGACTAGAAAGCCGTGTTCTCATCCTCTTTACTTGCCTCTACTGATCAAGCATTGCCTCATCTCTTCTGTTAGTTCAGCAGAGGCCTCGCTTTTTGTGTCTCCTCACCTTTATACCAGAGGTCAGCCACCTGGACTACACAATGGTAGTCCCAAGGCAAGTCAGGGTTAATTAGGCAGTGTCAGGGACAGTGCAGGCAGGTACTTCTGGAGAGCTGAAGAGGCTTCTGAGATAATGACAATAAATTCGAAGAAGTGCTAGCCAACTCCACAGATGAGGTCAGAAAGTCCAGAAGGACTAAACAAAGACAGTAAAACTTGAGAGAATAAGACCTTGGACAGGGGAGGTAAACTCTAATTTAAGAGCTGGAACTAGGAGAAAATTTTAGTATAGAGAAAAAAAAGGTTTAAATATCCCCTCGACGATTTCCTTGCCCCTCTCAAGTACAGCGTATCTGTGAGTCCTTATTTCTTCCTTTAAATAAACTTTACTTTCTTAAACAAAGTTCATTCTTCTTGGCTTACTTATCTAAAATGTCTGAATTCCTTTTCATGGCTTCATAGGACAAGAACCTGTGGTGGTTCAAGGACTAAATTAACAGTGCACACCGGCATCAGGATCACCTGAGAAGCTTCTTAAAAAAACAAATGTACTCAAAAAAAAAAAAAACAAAACAAAAAACCAAAAAACCCAAAACAAAAACCGAATGCCTGGGGCACACCCATGATCAAATAAATCAGAAACTCTGGAGGTAGGTACCATCAGAATTTTTGGAAGTTTCTCAGATGATTCCAGTGAGCACGCAGGAGTAAATACTACTGCCTTGCACACACCTCTAACTAGTCCTACACTTCCTAGCAAGTTGGGATCCCATATTGAATGAGGAGTTCTCTGAGGGTAGAGCTGATTTCTCAACAGATCTTGTTATTTATTGCTTACCACAATACCTGATTATTGGAAAGTATATAAAAACTGAACCAGAGGTAAAAATAAGCCCTCTTCAGCCTTAGGAATCTAGATAACATGAAATTAAAAGCATCTTAGTGGTTTTCCTTTACTTCTCTGCATTAAATGATGCAGGTTGAGCTATCAAGCTTTTTGTTATTTTAACTAAATGACAGATCACTCTGTCATGCTCTCCCCACACTTTCGAATTCAATAAAAATCAGAGTAATGAATACAGGTATGCCCCATCTGGAAATAGCCAACATGAAAAAGGTCCTGACTCATAACAAATTAACATACATATGAACCAAGGGGACAAGACATCTCTTCCACTCCACTACTTCCTAGGTGCTCTAGTATTGCAGTCTTCTCAAAGTCTCATTTTCTCTACAACAAGAGAGAAAACTGTTGACTATGTCAGTTTACAATAATCTCTCCCATTAGAAAGTAAATATACTGGTAAGTATATATCTTCACAATTATAGTTATCACAATTATACTTATTAACTTCCCAATTAGAACTTTGTCATGTAAAATGGTTTGGACAAACTATGGCACAAGAGCCAAGCTGGCTATCTTTGTAAGTCCTGTAAGCTAAGAACAGTGTTGGCATTTTAAAATAATTTTTGAAAAAATCAAAAGAAGAATACTGCTTTGTGACAGGTAGAAATCATTAAAAAAAAAAAAACCCTCAACTTTCAGGGTCCATAACTCGAAAGAACGTTGGCTGGGCAGTTCAATTCCTCTTAGACCCACACTACAACTCACATTCTAATCCAGAGTTGGGGGTCTGTATATGTGAGAGAGCTTTGCAGATGTGGGAGCTCTAGAAGTTTTCACTTTAGCACTAACAGGAATGAAAAATAATTAGCTTAAGGGGTACCACATTACAGGTACTCACAGTATTTACTTATTTTTTGAAGACTGGTTCAATTCAATAATTACTCAATATTACATTACTGCTTTTGTTAATATTTATAGATTCATTCATCAAAAACAGAAATGCAAAGTTGATAAAATACTACCTGTACTTTGTTCTCAATGAAAAATGATTAATTAATAATGGAATTAACATTCATTCCCAAAGGAATTTTCAAATATTGTCATTTGAAATGCGAGCATTGATAAATACCCTACAATTATCCAACAGGGAAGTTTATATTCAAGAGGCAATTTCCATCCTGACCAGCTGCATTTATTAGTTGATAATTTTGTGATAAGCTAGATTATGTGGGCCAAAAACTTCCAGGTCATAGGCAAGTAACCTTAAAAGAGGATATCTAAATCTCCAACAATTATTCCACAAGAGGAGTAGGGTTCATCACCACTCCCAGAACCATAATCTACTAATTAATTCACAGCTCAACGG